CGTGTTCACCAATGATTGGGCAGTTTTTTTTTGATACCTTGATTGTAGCATCAAGTGATAAAGGGCGGTTGTACTGACCCATCAAAATCTGACTGCTGGAAACTGTTTTGAGCCACCTTAAGACTAATAGATTTTTACTAGGGATGCGTTTTGCTTGCTTGGAGGAAAGTAGGGATGGGAAGCATTTAAATTTAGCTACTATGATCCTAATTTTTTTTTTTTTATGATCCCTTTTTTCGGTTTTTAGATGTAGTATAGCTAGCACTGGGCAGCGCGCAATTGAGGGTTTTAATGTAATCTTGAACGAAATTTTTCGTCATAAAAGCTAAAGTTGTACGTATAGATTCAACTAGTGATCGGACTTACCCACTAAATGGGTTTCTTAGGTCAAAAAATGATTCAATATATTAAACTAGCTGTCAGCATCAAACATGGCCGCTGTTGTTTGGGAGAGGTTGTCGTTTAGGTAGGTTCGAGTGAAGTTCTAGCTTGCGACAAGCATACATTACATGAAGGATCTACTAAAGACTGATCTAGATTTTGGAAAGTCAGCAAATAAAGAACAAACTAGTTAACCAGAGCCGGATTATGCAATGCACGCTTAAGCTAATAAGGGTAAGCTAAGCCAGAATTTTTATTTCACTTCTGTAACTTTTTAAATTGTTTGCCCCTCAGTTTTGACTTGATTAATCTCAAAATATACAATACAATATAATAGAAGTTTAATTTATAAGGGAGAAATTTAGTTTGATTTCTAAGGGAAACTTTGGTTCATATTATAAGAGTCTTATGAGGCGGTAGAAATTTAGTTTAACAAATTAAAAATAAAACTTGTAACCACAGCAATCTCATGGCCTTTCTGCTTCAGTACAAATTTGTTAGAGTATAGGGTGAGATCAGTGGGAGGCGCGGTGGCCTCATGGTTAGTGTGCTCGTCTTCGGAGCGAGCGGTCCGGGTTCGAGCCCTGCCCGGGGACATTTTGTTTGTTCTTGGGCAAGAATCTTTACTCTCACGGTGCCTCTCTCCACCTATTCGTACAAATGGGTACCGGCGAACTTAATGCAGGTAACCCTGCGATGGACTAGCATCCCATCCAAAGGGGAGTAGAAATACTCCTAGTCGCTTCATGCTAAGGATAAGCTCTGGCCTGACGGGCCACTTGGCCCGTAGGCAGACTTTACCTTATCGGGTGAGATCGAGTATGTTTTCGTTTTGTTTTGTTTTGTTTATTTTTGTGCTCGCGTGTGTGTGTTTGTGTAGAAATTTTTTGTTTGTTTGTACGCCCTCTGAAGTGGAATGCGAGAAAAGAAGATTTGCAATGGTGATGGTCACCTGTAGCGATCTCCATATAGTCCTGCCTTCGCAGTAAATAATATGAGGCCTAAAAACGTTACATTGCCAGCGACGCCGTTTCAATCCGTCACTTACAACCCTCTATTTTGCCATGTCATTCCAGAAAAAAGCTAGTGCTCCTGCCTTACTCTCCACCAGGAGCAAATGCTTAAATTCCGCTTTTGAGCTATGAATACCTTTCTTAACGGGTAAACAGATAGGATCCTGGAAATGCCCCAGGTCTTGACAAAATTAATTCGCGAAACAATATTTTGGCTTGACTTCTAACTAATTCAATCTCAGTCAGTTGGAAAAAGACACCAAGATTTTGCTGGGTGCAGTCACATTTTGAAAGGGTTTAGTCCCTCTAGTAACCATCCTTGAAGACCCAGAGGCAGTTAGTAGAAGGGGGGATGGGTGAGGTGAAAGTAAAGTTTGCATATGAGCCAGGTGGCCCATCAGGCCGGAGCTTTTCCCGGTTTCTGTAGTGCGAAGCAATTAAGTAGGAGTATTTCTACTCCCCCCTGGATGGGATACTAGTCCATCGCAGGGTTACCCCCAGCATTAAGTTCGCTGGTACACATTTATACACCTAAGTCGAGAGAGACACGTCTTGCCCAAAAACAAAGCGCAATGTCTCCGGGCAACCGGCTCGACCCTGACCGCTCAATCTGAAGACGAACGCACTAACCCACAGGAGGAGGAAGGGTGGACAAAATCGGTAACAGCAAAAGACAATTTTCCCGGGTTAACTCTGTCCTGACCCTACCCCTGTTAGGTACTATCATTGGCTAAGGTTGGCGTTTACACGCTAACAGAGGTCGGCCGGACTTGGTACACTGCCAAAGCTAATCCTTTTATCCACAGCATAGTATTAAGACATAAAAAAAACATAACCGCACTAGTTCTTATCTTAGAAGTAGTCTTACTTCGTGAGCAGTTTGATGAAAAACATCGCTTATCGTTTGTTTTCTTGTTTAATTAGGTCTTTCAACATATGAATTAGAGTGGGCAACTTTTGTCCTTGGGGCGTCGTATTTACGCCTCGACGAGACCTCGAATTTACGCCTCGACGAGATCGAATGAAGTGCAGCGATCTCCCATATTTTTTTCTGAACACACAGCACAAGGACGATACTGGAGTCGCACGAAACGCCAAACTGCTGAGAATCGAAAGTCTTGTTCACACAAGCATTATGCACCCACAGCGGACCTATTTTTACTGCCATAAGTGGCGTCAAGCGATGACGGTTATGTGATATGCATGATGATATGTTTTATTTATAAGTCTTTGCCTTGCGCATCAAGGCAAAAGCCGCTAAGCAAGAGATTTTTCTAGGAAATAGTTTTCGGTTTCTTAGAAAAACCTGCCGTGACATGAATTTGTCGACTTAGTCATAACAATGGATGTTTTAGCTTAGCACGAAATCTATTGGCTAATAACGACTAGTTTGTCACGGTTGGTTGGAATTACAGAATGAAATAAAAGTGCTGTTTTGAATATTTTCTCTACCGGAGCGATCCAAAGATGAGGGTTTTCGCTCAGTTCGCTGATTAATAACACTGAAATGAGGACACTAAATGTAACGTGAACGGGTCTGCGAGCATTTCAAGGTCAGGTGAGTGTCGTAAAATACAAGGTTCTTCTTGCCGTGAGAAAATAATCCTTTAAATGGGCTTCAGAATTCGTTTCCGAGGTTCTCGTGAATATTTGGCTGTATCAGCTAAAGACAATTCTTGTATCGGTAAACTATTTTACGAGTTTCCACGACAATGGAGAAAGGCATAGAATGTGGAGTCGAGTCTGTCTACAGACGGCAGTAGATTGATTTAGAACTACCGACCGAGCTTGTATAATGATGACAGCTAAATTCAATATGCACTGACTCGAGATCCTGCTAAAAATGTGTCGAAAATTATTGGCGACCTTGGCGATGGAGTGTTTGATAAGTTCTGTATCCTGTAAATTGGCAAAGGATGGCAACAGCTTTTCAGATATCAAGAGATACGTGGCATATACATCTACAACATAATTAAAGTGCTGAAGACATGCACGAACAGATCGTGACTGATGTCACGATCTTTAAGCTCTTAAGTTTAAGATCTTCATGGTTCAATCCGTTGCTTCGGCCAGACCTCACTTCACTTTGACATTTTCAAATTAATAACTAGTTCTGAACTGTAATTCGTTTTTTATGTCAATATATATGAAGGTGAACACTAAGGAATAGTATAATGCCGAAGAAGACGCCGTACAGTGTGATTTAATCGATGAGGCAGTACAATAAGTGAATTTATTAAATTATTTCCATCAACAATTAAAGATAATAATTTCTACGGGTAATCGGCAGCATCTTCAAATCATCAAATAGACCAGTAAAGAACGAGAGTAAAAGCAACGATCACCAACGACTGCATGTTGTCTTGACTGAATTGCGACGTAAATCACATGTAAAAAAATATAAATTGATATAATGTGACATTCACTGATCAAGGAAAAAAATATTTCAATGAGCAGGAAACTAGCTGAAGTTGGCAGCGGACTGAATTCGTGAAACCTTTGGCGAATGCTTCCATAGCCTGACGTCTGTCTTTCATCAGATATATTATGAAATGTAAAAACATCCAAACAAGTATTTTAGATGAAAAAAAGATTTGAAAACACTTGGTTCCTGTTTGGTGAAAGGGTAAATGAAAAATATGGTCAAATATGTATATGACTCTTCGTTGTGCCAAACCAAACGACAGAAAGCATTCGCTCTTGGTATTGTTGAAGTTACTGGTTTCAATTCTAGCAGGGTGCTTTCACTTTAATCATTATTTCTGTTGTTATGGATTAATTCTTGGAAGCTTCATGAGAAAGTCTCAGATGAGAAAGTCTCAGAAGAGAATGTCTCATAGTCGATATTCATTATTACAGTTTTCGACATGAAACATAAACGACCATATTTCCGGGAGGTTGACACTTCACAGTGAACATTGAAAAAATTGAGACCCTAAATATCGTTTTCTAACGACTTATTTAGCATTCAGGTCTATTAACATTATATATTGTGGTCGTTAAGTATTGTTGCGTTTCGATTTCAGGTAGCTGCTTGAGACATGGAGGGGATGAACCCGATGCAAGATCCCCGCCAGCTTGGCATGATGGGAAAAAAAGCCATGCAGCTAGGTAACTATCCTGACGCTGTACGTATGTTTACCATGGGCCTCGATCAGGTGCAGTTTCTACGCTTGCCTCCCCACTGTGCTGCCCCATTCCTTCTCGATCGAGCAGAGTGCTTCTGGCGGTTAGGTGACGTCCAAGCTTCGATGCAGGACATGGAGGACTCTCTGCGTCATGGATTACCAAGGGACGACTTTTTTGCCGAGGTAACAGCTGCGTGTTTAAACACTTTGTGTTTTCAATAAGACTGACATGAACATTATGTATTAAAAAGATTGAGAAATGTGGGGGACTGTTTTGTTTAATTTAGACGAAATCCGATAGGAAATCGAGCAATTTCAGTTTTTGTGGACAACAATCTTGTATCAGAATAATGTTAAGAATATTAAATTCCTTTTTGCATTTTCTAAAAGCTAAAGATTCCTAAAATAACACCAAAAACAATTTCCCATGGGAACTTGAAAATATAAATTTCAAAGTTCAGAGAAATTGTAAGAGCACAGGTAAAATTTCATCATCAGTTTCGGTTCACAAGTACTCTCAAGTGTTTCATATGAACTTCAAAATTTGTTTTCAACATTTGGTGATGTTAGAGATGATTTGCAATACAATGTAAATAATCTCGGAACAAAGTTTCAGTCCGCTTGTTACCCGAAATTGTGGTGGATTCCCTCTTAAATTCTTTTAGCTTAGTGATCGACCCTATTTTTCCCAACACGGAACTACTGGTCAAAATGCAGCTATAAGTGACATAATCGATTGTGCATAAGCCCATTTTATTGTTTTCCTTGGTATGACGGATACTATTCTTTTTTCGTTGAGTGTTTGGCCTTTCTTTTATCTTACTTCAGTTGCCGTTTTGAATCCAAGCATATAGGCATGGTCTTACTTGGTGTAACTACTGAGTCATATCTTTGGAGCACGCGCCTGGTCTGAAAAGTATAAACGGATTCCAAAACAACTTGACACCAATATATAGATTCAAGGAAGTTATATTTTCCCTTAAGGAGCTTCGCAAACACTACCAACTATACGAACGTTTCTTGAGCTCATTGCTTGAATGTTTGGGATCGAGTAACTCGAACAAATAATGGATTACGAGTCCATTCTCAAGTACTAAGATTAACATTAAATATAATACAGCTCCTTTCCATCGCATTTGCTTTTATTGCTGTTGTTATTTTTTTTTAGGACGAATCGTTAAAGTGGACAGATCATGGAAACACACTCCTGCGGAAAAACGACTTCGTATCAGCCGAAAAGTGTGCAAATTTTGCCCTGTTCTTCCAAACCACTTCCACGACAAGAGCCCAGGCATGTCTTTGCAAGGCGTTTGCACAGTATGAAATGGGGAAAACAAATGCTGCCAGGAGAGAGATAAACGAAATTAAAAGACTGGATAGTGATCTAGCAAGGGTGAGGAGAAGTGAAACACCATTTGTCAAAGTTCATGAAGTTTATATTCAACACAGGAAAATATCGTACTGTCTTATTAGAACTGACACAAAAATGCTCTGCCCACTTTTTTTGTTTTTAGAACGTAGCTAAAGAAAGGAAAGACTTCGCTATTGCAATCTTTAAGAGCAAGAACTACGAGAGATCCATCAAGGACCTCAACCTTGCACTTTGGTTTCATCCCGAAGACGGTTCCACAAAAATGAAATTCAAACGTTCAGTTGAAAGTCATCAAGCGACTGCTTACTTTAAACTGAAACACTACATGAAGGCTTTGGAACTTGGAGAAGAGAGTTACAAGACAAATACAACATACAGGTCGAAGGTGAGACCAAGTTGAGTGATCAAATAGTACTAGTACACTTCCTGTCATATATGTTCCTTTTTGGAATAACTGTCAGAATTCACGCACATCCATTGGCTCAGAACTTTTGGCTTTTAGTCCATGAGATCTAGAGTACAAACAATGAAATAAAGTCACATAGAAATTAAAGCAAGTTCCTT